TTAGATTCTGATTTCAGATTGATCTTTTTCTTCTTTTACGGGTAAAACATTGCCGAAGTGAAGTTGGCGATCGTCCACAAGGCGTGAAGCCTGCTGAAGGTTCATGTTGAGGGCTTTTACCTGCCACCGTTATGGACTTCCCATGCCCTGAAACCGGATTGCCTGATATTGTAAGCTTTAATTCTGGTTGGTTGACATACATTATGACAAAATGACCATAAACTTAACTTGCTGTTTTTACCATATTCTTGTTCCAAATTAGGTCCCAAGCAGGTTTTAAAACCAGCTCGACTTAAATATTTCATTTAGCAGATGAATTGTTATTTCTCGAGAATTTTATTGAGATCCCATGTCTGAAACGGATAAGTCAGATTTCAGATCCCATGTCTGACACTGGTAGGAAAGATTTCAGATCCCATGTCTGACACTGTTAAGTAAGATTTCAGATCCCATGTCTGACACTGGTAAGTAAGATTTCAGATCCCATGCCAGACCTGCATTCTCCCTTCAATATCTTCGATCCTTTCCGACTTTGGGAACATTTCTTTTCCAGCTATTTAAACTCATCAAGGTGTCAGAGCATACATCTATGACTAGTTTTTCTGCTGTTCGGCACACTGTCGTAACCTTAGTCATATATGTTTTGATTTTTTATACATAAAATAAATTGTTTATCATTATTTTCCTTAATGGTTTTGTAAAATGTTATGTTTTAAATTTCCTTTATTATTGTTTTCTTCTCTGTAGTGCATTTTAAATAAATGAAGAAAGAGAGTATCAGATCATTCTTACTAAAAAAAAATAAATGTGGTGATTAATATTGATTATGTCTCCTCTGACCCAGTTTTATAACATTGTTTTCCCAATTTCTAAAGTGATTTTAAGATGATGTACTTGATAATATATAAGGGACTGAGTATATCAATAGAATATGTTCCATTCTGAAAGGAAGCGGCACAGTCTAAGCAACGTTTCGACAAGACGCTTTCGTTGGTAAACATCATAACTAGGTGAGACTGGATGGCGACTCTCGGACAGATGTACTGAAACCTTTGAAAAAGTGCGCACGTTAAGCAGTGGCCCATCTCAAAACTCTTCAGTGGGCGTGACCACAAGTCATCAACGAATTTACTATCACCAACATATGTCGTCTTGGGCCATCACGCCCAATCGGGTTAACTTAGAAAAAAAAATGATAAAGACTTAAGGGACTTTGACACCAAGGATGTACCTAAGTACAGTGGCAAACTCTTGACACCACGTGTTCGCCTTGAGACTTGCGGAAAGTGCACTTTCGAATTTGCTGGTCCAACAATTTGGAACGCCCTTCCAGTCGATCTCAGAAACAATCAGACACTAAAGTCCTTTAAAACCAATTTAAAGACACATCTATTTCGCAAACACCTTCTGAGATGATTGTCAACCATATTTTCCATTTAATGCATATTGGATGTGTTGCTTAGGGTTGAAATGGGTAGAAAGACTTTGACTTGCTATGCTTGTACTTAGTTTTTATAGTGTTGCGTTTGTTTTAAATGTGGTAAATTATAGATTTGTTGTTTTTTTGTTGTTGTTTTTTTACTTTTGTACCGTGCTTCGAGCCTTTGGTGATGAAGCGTGTTTTTGAAATAAACTTTATTATTATTATTATTAAGTATTGTTTTTATATCTTGTTTATTCACTAAAGAAGGCTTCTTGCCGACACTTATGTTGTTTTGTTGCGTCCTTTTTTTTAGTGTTTCCCATCGTTTGCTTCCCCATGTATTTAATCAGTTCCGGTTGTCATGACAGATGTGTCTAATTTTATGGAGTACTGTATATTATCAGTCTTATTTTTTTTTAGGCTGAGCTACATTCCATAAAATAATATGTCATAATTATTTTCCAAACATCGAAATATACATTTAAATTGATAGAAATGAACATTAATATTTTTTTTCTACTCTATACGGCCGTTCATTTGACAAATATGCAAAGATTGGAACATTTCCACTAGTTGCACAATATGTCCAACAAAGTTTTTTTTTATATTGAAGGCACTAAAAAACGTTGTTTCCAAATGTCTAATGTGATTTTAAAGGTGACTGTTTTAGGTTTCTTTTTTTAAAATTCTATGTACTGTGGCTTTTCAAGTAATAAAAAACTTAACAAGCCGACTAAATTTTGGTTCCCGCCACCCCCCCCCTGGAAAAACCTAAAATGACGCCGCTGATATGGTAACATATTTCAATTGAAATGTATTAGCCACTCTCGCGGTTTGTTCGAAATCAAAGTTGTAAAACACTGGTTTAATAAACAATACCTTTTTCTACTGAAAGATTGAATTAATTTGAATTGAAAATAGCAGCACATATTGACATTTTTACATACATTTTCGCTTTATGATTTCATGTGTTAATTTATGTGTTTCTTTTATATCATAAAAGCTAAACAACAGTATGACACAGCTTAGAACAACATTCCGTTTCCGATCGTCAAATTAAAATTTGTGTGAAGTGACATTAGTTAAAAAGTTAAAAAAAAACCAGCCCAGCCGATGACCACCTAAGATTTCATTTCAATTTCTAGTTTTGCTACGGTGTTGAAAGACGGTGTTTATTTATGTTTGCAAAGAAAACTGCACTTTAAGGAATCAGAAGATTAGAAGGTTAAAGATAACAATAAATGAAGGATTGAATTGTTGTCAGATTTGATATAGATTTTCAATAAGGGCGAAAAACAAGGTAGACTTCGTCGGTGAAATTAAAAATTAAAACATAAACTAAGTTACACCGTTACACCATATCTTCTGTCAAGAATTATTATGTTATAATAGTAGATACATTTGTATTACGACTTTAGACTTAAAGTAATATTCTCGTAAAAACTAATGTCCTTAGGAAATGCATGTCTAAATTTGAATTCAGAGTTGTCCTTATCTTAGACTAGTCACCACCAATGTTCCCTTTGCGGCAGCGCAGCAATCTCACAGACGCCGCGCAGCAGTTTTGAGTACCGGCGCAGCTAATTTCCACTTAAGTGTGTGTTTGTGACAGTAGGCTTTAAAATTTTGCACAAAAAATAATTTTTGCTGTTAAAATCTGCACACAACTTTATGATTTTGCACACTAACCAACAAAACTTAGAGGGAACATTAGTCACCACTCAAGGCTAGAAAGTCACATTCACCCTAGGTGCTGGTGATGTTTTTTTTTTGCCTGTCTAAGCTGGAACTTCAGTAAACATGCTTGAAATTGATGTGATTTAGACCCAGACAATGATACAGTTACCCCGTTTATTAAACGTCACGTACATGTTTTTATTCGTATTGTAATTGTTATAGAGAGCTTGTTTACATATTTTTTCTTGTGCGTGCCCTAAGATTGACCCCGCATGAGACGCTGTGTTCACAGAGGGGTGTGGCTTAGTCCTTTGATCTATTTGTGTTTATGCCGCCAACCACTAAAAATAATTAATCCGTTCCAAATAGTATTTTGTAGAATGAATGTGATTGTTCTAGAAATGACATGTAGCTTATCGAAGGCAGTGCTTAGGCGTCGGTAGACCCACCTATATAAGGGATTGACAGGCACGGACGAGGAGACGGAGATTCAGATAGATTTTATTAACTTTACGAGGCGTGTTTATTCTTTGTGTATTTGTGTGCTTATATGTGTTATTTCGCATTATTTATTGGTACATTACTCTAACTGTGTTAACTGTGTACCGGTACAAGATCTACCATACTGTAAGTTGAAGATTGTAATCATATTTTCTTTTCTTTTGTAATTATCTTAAGAATTAATAAATCTTAATTAATTAAACTAGAAACTATTTTGGGTCGTATCTTTAATATTGTTGATTCTATGGTATCGTCCTTTGTTAGGCACTGTTTGCAACGAGTCAATTAAAATTAAAATAGGAGATTAATTTCGCCCAATACAAGTTAGTGCGTAACATAATGAAAATTAAACTTTTTTTAAATTCAATATATAGTTTAATTAGTATTTAAATTACTTACTTAACAAGAGGAGCCAGTCATGTTGAATATCATACTTATTTATTCCCAAATGGTTTACTTCTCTTTGCTGAATGTCTTAAAACATTAATCTCTCCATTGAGATCTGTGTCGCATGAAATGATTCGACAGAGGTCTCGCATCCTGTGTCGTATTCAGACCTGCGCCTGGAACACCAGGCTTAACTAAGCACTAAACACCTTTACGTGGTAGCTTATCTAAGCACTAAACCCTTGACGTGGTGGCTAAACTAAGCACTAAACACCTTTACGTGGTAGCTTAACTAAGCACTAAACACCTTGACGTGGTGGCTAAACTAAGCACTAAACACCTTTACGTTGTAGCTTAACTAAGCACTAAACACTTTTACGTGGTAGCTTAACTAAGCACTAAACACCTTGAAGTGGTGGCTAAACTAAGCACTAAACACCTTTACGTGGTAGAAATTGTATGAAGGACATTGAATTAAATTTTAATAACTATTACAACAAATTTATATTCACAACATTCACAATATTCAGAATATACTCGTCTTCATTCAATTTTAATTAAAATAATGTGTTGGAAAATTATATTTTGAAAGTGTTGTTTGTTTTAATTTTTTTTTTTTAATTCTGCAATCATCCGAAGCATTAGATTCTATAAAAATCGAAGACGCCACATTTTTACCTTAAGTATAGGACTGTATTATTTTTGTAGCTCTCTAATTAGATACTTAAATTATTATGGATTAATTATTTATTTTATCCCCCCCCCCTCCAATATATGCATTTTTTCCCTAGCAGGCTGGTCCGTTATTTATAAGAAATTGTTTAAAACACGTGTTAAAAATTTTCTATTTAATTTTATTGTTTAAATTTTTTTTTTAAATTTTACTATTTGAATTTATGTAAGGCATTGAATACAAAAATCCTTATAAGTGCAACATAAAATCCATGTTCCTGTATTTTTATTAAATATGATGTACATATTCAATTTTAAATTTCAAAAAGGAAAAAAAAAACATCTTAACAAATAATAGGCACCAGGAAATAAAGCACACAATTATAGAATAAATTTCTTGCATGAATTGAAACAAATAAATGCGATACATATGAAATAATATAGATATTTTTATAAGCCCTTTTGATTTGGTTTGTTTTTAACCTTCGGTTCAAAGATATCAATAATAGCTGACGTGTTTTTCCCGTTGTTGCCGGAGATTTCTTCCAGTGGAAATGATCCAGTGTCACGTTTTCTGCGCCTCTTTATTAACAACCCACAGACGGCAGCTGACAAGACGGCAATCATTAGTCCTAACGCCACGGTTAGGATTATTACCACGTACAGGTCAACTTTATTTCGTGCATCAGTAGCCGAGGATGTTGAATTCCCTGTGTCAGCGCGGGTTGACGAATAACAAGGCCTAACTTCAGAGGATGGATTTGTTGGATATTTGTGGACATTTCTTGTTGACATAGATGTAAAGAGGGACACCAGGTTCGACCTTGCTTCTGGTAGAGTAGAAGTTTCAAAATTAGATTTGGAATCAAAACGTGATCCCGAGATGGCTTTGAATGTGAATTTGGAATTCGTCTTCAAAGTAGATCTTTGAACCGTTGCTGAGACAGAGGCTGATTGTGTCAACTTTAAATTTTGCGATACACTTAAGATGTCAGTTGATCCCTTGGTGGCTAAGGTACCGCTGCTCAATCTCTCACAGTGTTTACTCAATTCCAATGTCACATCAATAAAATGTTTATTTTCCAGCAGCTGATCGACGCCTGACAGTACATTTACGCAATTCGTATTACACAAAACATTGTCAATTTGAAATCTGTACCAGCGCTGCATGTATTGAGGAGTGTAATTCTTTGAAATTCTTTGACATATGAAAAAATAATTATGGTTCCTTTCACACAGGAATGACGACTGATAATTCTTGGGATCCAAGTTTTTGGGAAAATCGTTAATTTTGGTTAAAGTTGTGTTGAATGAAGTTCGCGTTACCGTGTATTCAAATGTTGAGTCTCCGCACAGTGCAGTGTGAAGTCTACATAGATGAAATGAATAAAACCAGTAAAGATAATTTTTATGTGTAAAACACGTTTCTAATCAACTGATTGCATGCAATAAATATATAAGTAAATTGCTTGACTGAAAAGATTTTTAAGAACATATCCAGCACAAAATAGTTGGATTTGCAATTGTTTCGGGGAAGCAACTGGTGGACTCCAGCACGAGTAGTAAAAATAAATAATTATGCAACAATGAAACGATACACTTGATAGACAATTAATTCACGTTTTTTGCATAGTAATGCAACCACATTTAAAAATAATCGATCTGGAAATTATTGAACTTAAAGTTTAAAAAATAATTTTTTTTATAGATTTAGCGTCTATTTTCCATCACTGGAAAGCCAATATAAATTTTCCGTTTTTTGACTTCGCTTTACTATGAAACATAATCCAAAGTTAGTTTCATTAAGTGTTTAAATGGAAATAACTATTGCTTTTGTTTTTTGTGTTTCAATTACACATGTATTGCAGGTTACACCTGTATTGCAGGTTACACATGTATTACAGGTTACACATGTATTGCAGGTTACACATGTATTGCAGGTTACACATGTATTGCAGGTTACACATGTATTGCAGGTTATGTCAGTAGTCAAAGTTTACTCTAAGTTAAAAAAAAAAAAAAAAAAAAAAAATTTACTTAATTTTTAAAAAAATATGTATTGCAGGTTACACATGTATTGCAGGTTACACATGTATTGCAGGTTACACATGTATTGCAGGTTATGTCAGTAGTCAAAGTTTACTCTAAGTTAAAAAAAAAAAAAAAAAAAATGATTTTACTTAATTTTAAAAAAAATATATTTACTTTACTTTACTTTACTTTACTTTACTTTACTTTACTTTACTTTTTGACATCTCCAAATGTTACCGACCCATAAAAAGTAGTCAGGTAACTTATTCTCTTCATGTTCAGTCTAGGGTCGAGAGATGTTTGAGCCTCGGCCTGCACAATGAATATGGCAGCCATCAAGCAGATGAAGGTGGGTAGAAACATTTATTTTTAGTCAACCGAGGTTTGACTGTTATATGATCTGTACAAATACAAGCCGTATATCATTTTAAATCATTGCAGATTAAGATTTAAAAAAAAACAACAAAATAATGAATTACAATTTATACTTTTATAAGAACTAGAGCAATGTAATGCATATCAATTTTTCTACCTATTATGAACAATTTATTACGTATTTCCGAAATATTGGTATTCCATATGCTGCAGATATGTAAAGATATAACAGTACTTGTATTATTTAAAATAGGCCAAGTTAGTGTTCCCGGCATGTCATCATATAAATAAATTCACCATTTTCGTATGTATGATATATATATATATATTATATATATATATATTATATATATATTATATATATATATATATATTATATATATATATATATATATATATATAAAGATATTTTTATATATACAGTTTTTTGACAACTAATTTAATAAATAATTTTTCTTTTAAAAAGATC